AATTACTTCCTGACATCTCATTGTTGTTCTCACATCACTAAGAGGTCACAACAAGGCAACACCAATTTGAGTTCAACAGCTAGTGGTTTCTCAGTTACGTTCTCTCGACATCTGATGTTCATCCCATGAGTGGTCATGCATCCTTTGCTGCTGATGGCTGCCTAGACATTCCGGAGCCCTAGTATCTATGCTGGCACTTATTGTGCTTGAAATTACTACTTCCCTAATTCTCTTATTAAAATCTCGATCCCGTGTACTTTATTTTAAACATTATTCTTCTATTATTTCTACCTATCCCCCACAGCCTAATTTACTAGTTAAAATCTCGATCCCATATACTTTAGTTTAAATATTACTCTTCTATTATTTCTACGTAACCCCCACAGCCCTAGGCACCCTGTGCTCTATGTGATCTTCATCTCGGCCCCGTTTTGATGTCATGATATGGGCAATTCTAATGCCCACCTAAGTGCCGAGATTTCATCCAACACAGTTGCTAGACATTGGAGTACTGACATGGTGCGAAATCTCCTCTTTTTTTAATTATTTGCTTCAACAGTCTTCGCGGATTAACTGTGGTCCCCGCAGTGCAACATCTGGGTTCATCGAGGTGGCATAGTTTGATCTGTTGATTTTTCAATAGATCTCATTGAATGTCTTTAAATCTATCCGACTGTTGACCAGCTATCACCCATCCATCTCCCGAATTAGGTAGACTAGGCCTAGGATATTGCCATTGTCTACTACCATAAACATCTACAGATCTAGCATCTTCAGCAGCTCTACGGTAACAAGATTATTTAACTCTGATGGGTGTCCCGAGTTCAGTGCATTCAACACCTGAACACCTGCCAGATGGTATACTATATCTTAGTGCCGGTAGTCGTGGAGCTTGAAGAGTACAATGAACTTCGCAGGCGGACAGCCGCGTAGGGCACCTTACATGTACTCCCAACCAATCTGTCAGCAAATCCAATTCTTGCGACTTGCTCAGTATTGGAAAAGCTTGGTGCCTGTACATCGCACCCGGTGGATGTAGTAAACATTGGTTTCCTGGAACACTAGAACTGGGATTTCAAGTTGTGTCAGTTGTTCAACTGGGAGGTGTCAAAGTATTCTGGAATCTTCAGGCAAGTAGCACTTAAAGGACAGGCTCTACCAGTTATATCAAACTAATTCAGCACACATATTGTCACTCGAGATGCCTAAGGCTTTGCACAAATCACCGAGGTGGGTGATATCTCTATGACACCCCTTGAAGGCCCAACAGCGTGTCGGTTGCAGGAATTCTGTACTCATTTTGTCTCAAAGATCAATGATATCTGCAGGGAGGTCAGCTCTAGAACATTGCATAGCATCTAGGTTCAAAAGTCTCATTCAGATCGCATGGTATCAACAGTAACTATGTAGGATCTGCCACACAGTGACATTTTTATTCAAACATCACCATCTGTCTTTTATCTACTCTTTATACACTTACTCGCGAAACTTAGTAGAATACTGCAGAATGTTGCCAAACTGGTACACATAGTCGCGAAAGTGACAAATGAGATGCATCTTCTTGCAGTTGAAATTAGACTCCGCTTGTATAAATTCCACGCGTTGGTTGTTCTCTTCATCCCAGTACTGCTCCTGCATACTGGACCGCTGGGATCTAGCCACAGATTGATCTATCAGTGTTCTTTAATATCATACCTCTATTCACTAGTCTTGAATCTTTACCCGTGTCCATTTAGATATTCTAAACTTCAAGTAGATATCCTTCGTCGAGTGAAACATATTCAGATATTGATCCATATAATCAACTGTCTCATGCGTATGGCTCCAGTATTGTGCCATCAGACCAAAGTTGAGTAATGAATCGACACAGGTAAGTGCTCGTTTGAATGGTCGGTGTTGTGTACTATTAGGCTGTCTCTAGGACATAGCCTGAACTTCTAAAAGACTACGTTCCAAGTTTCTCATCTCCTTTCCTTGCCACTGGGTAACCTTGTGGTACGCTTTACTATGTATAAAGAATCCCGGGTATGGAGGTAAAGTTTTCCAAGAGTCATCAAACACCTCCAACCTTGCATGTTTGTTAAGAAATCCCTGAATCCAAGCCATCAAGTGGTTGAATAGTCTGAGATAAACACTGTAGAGCAGATCTGACTGGTGCAGGCCAGTGGGTAAAATACGTGGTTGTCCGGCAAAAAGATTTCGACTCAACTTGATGCCAAGACCATCAAATGTGGTGTGGACGTCACCTGATGTAGGCTTTCCTGAGCACTCTTGAACTTCTTATTCCTGGCTCTTATATCTTGAATAATCTCTCGCTAGGTACCTTACTCGAGTGTTGGATCCTAACATATCCGCAGGTATCTCAAATTTGGAACAGGTATTGGATTTTACCCCATATAGAGCAACGTTTTCCATATGGTCCGCAATCCACACTGTGAGGATAGGGAAACATGTCTATATTTTCCCATCTACACAGTCAATTGTCATACCATCAAGCACTGCGTCTTGCAAGAGCTCAAATAGGAGCTCAAATACAGCTTGTAGTATGTCGGAGTTGATTTGTCTCTGTATTTCATTTGCGGAAGGAGACTGTGGGAGCTTGGACGGCATGGGCAATAGCGCCACAAGCAGAACTGTCATCGATCCAGGTCGGTTACAGATAGTGGACGCAAGATTTCCAATTGTGCTGTATACTGGTCACGCCTTCTGGTCACTAGAGAAGTTGGTAAGATGCGTTTGATCTAAACTCCCAATAATCGTAACCACAGTTACGCCAGGTGGAAATGTTTCCTGTCATGGGTTAACCTCTGTTTCGGTCAAAAAGAGTGCAATTGCAATTGGCAAGGTACTTAAACATCCTACCACTATTCCGCTGCATGCATTTCTGTATATACTCTTTGTCCATTGGAATCGCATTCATATTGCAGTATGTAAATAAAATCATCTTTGTAGGCTCTTTGACGAAGACGATATCAGACAGAGTCTAGAACATTATGGTAAAAGAATGGTAATCTTCTCGTGCCATCTTCAACCTGGACCTCAACCTATTGTAGATATGAACTATACGGATCTAGTGAGTGGAGGTTGTTCTCGAGTATATGCATCGAACTATGGCTAACGTCTGCCGCATTACTGAGGCCACTTGAAAAGTATTCATCAATTCATGCCTTAGATACCTTGCTTTGTATGAACCAAGATGCAAGTTTGAAATCGTGTGCACTATCAAATGGCGCCCACGAGTCCTCACACAGATCTCTGTGTTCTTCAGCAAATCTCCTCACCTCTCTAATAGTTTCTCCCGCGCAGTGATAATACTCGGGTTCACCTGAGGCCAAAGAAACATTAACCAAATTCAGTGATTCCGTATCACTCATGTCATTTGGCTTGTTTATGATATGATTTGTTATATTTTCTACATAACTCGATCATGAGTCATAGGTTTCATCCTGATTACTTACTTGAGTTATATGACTTGTTTATATTATGATTTGTCATATTTCACATATAACTTAATTATGAGTAACAGGTCTTGCGCATATGACTCACTCAAGTCATGTCACTTGATTATATTATTATTCACTATATGTTGCACATGACTGGATTATATATCATGGGTCTTGTGCATATGACTCACTTGAGTTATATGAACAGTTTCTGAGGTTTTACATGACTCAGAGTTATTAGTCATCATAGTTAGAGTTGGTGAGAAGAGTACTATATAAAGAGGCCATTCCTGCCGAAGAGGAGAGGCTCTTCAACTTTATTCTAAGTAATTTTCTTACTAATTACTTTATGTGAATAAAGTATCTTTATGCTCTTTATGCTTTATATTTCTTATAAAGCCTAAGGGAGATATCTTTATACATTCATGACGATAGGTATTACCCAATCAGGTATTGGTAATGCAGTCCAAAGAACCTAAGAACTATTAAAGAGAACATAGATATCACAAAGGTATTGTTACTCCTCACTATATACTAATATGGACTTAGGAACGTTACTAGTAATTAGAGAGCTGTGCTTCTTATAGTATCAAGTAGTAGTAAAATAGGGAAAAACATTTACTATAAACTGAAATAGCTTAACAACTACTTAGTGTTCCACTATTATTATGGGTTGAATATGAGTACAAGAGACTAAAGTAATTTTACATGGTAAAAAGTAAATGGTAAGTGTTTTAAGTCTTTTTTATATAAAAGCTGTTATAGAGGTTGTTAGGACTTCAAAAATATTTTAAATGTATTGTGGTCAAGTTCCAAGAGTTAGGTTTTTACTTGTACTAACTCATATTGAATAATATGATAAAACCAAAATTAATATTTACAAATAGGTATCTGATACTCAATCATGTTGCTTATACAGGTTTAAATAATACTATTTGAAAAATAGTATAAAAATATCTACAGAATACCATTACTCATCTTCTTCTTGATCCTACTTGATTTACAAGTTCTGCATTAAATAGGAAATAACTTTAATTTCTCAGCCATATTAGATTAGACGTGTTCAAACATCAAACTGATCAAGTAACTATAGTCAAGCAAAGTGATCGATTGAATGATGATATACGATTGCTCC